CGCGAACGAACGCCGAGCAGTGTGCCTGGCACAACCCGGGCTACCCTGGCACAACCATCACACAACGGCCCCCAAGAACAAAATGCAACACAAGTGCGAATCACAGGTGCGCCTCAACCAGCAGTCTCAACTGAACCCCTCTGCCATTCGAACCCTTTTCTGTTGCGGCCCTTAGACACACCATCCCAGCCTTCGCCGCCTGCTCGTGAGACTCCGGGCTCTTCCAGCATGTTTCGCACATCAAAACCCCAGAATAACCCCCCCGTGTGTAAAATTGCTTGCACGAGCACCCTTTCGTCGACCTCGTCTTGCAAGTAGGGTTCAAGCACAGGCGTCCACTCTTGAGGGTGACGCTACCCCACACGGGGTCGGCCGGCTTGTTGTCCGAGGCCGGACGCCTCCCACCCTTGTTGGGCCTCGCGACGTTACACTTCGCCATAAGGAGCGTTGCCATCTGTTCATCCCACACAGCCCGCTCTACCTTCGACAGTGTCGCCAACTCCGTCGACGCAAGCTCCAACTCTTCCAACTCACCCCCTGGTGCAATGGGCTTCTTGGCCTCNTCAATAGTTCTACCCACTTGCGAAAAAACAGAACGCGTTGGTCAGCGCCTGCTCCAACTTTGCGCCATACACACGGCGCCAGAAGTTCGTGTAGGACTTGTGGTCGTGTGTGTGAGACCCGTTCTGCTGGTCGGCCAAATCCACCCCCAACATCTTCAGAACGTAATCCATACGCATCCAAGGTTGCTGCAAATCCAGAGGTTCCACGTTGGGCCCTTCGCTCTCAGTCTGCAGAACAGAAGACGCGTAGGGTAAAGTTGCGAGGGGCCTGCGTGTGAAAAGAGGGACGAACAGGCTTAGGCTGGCGAGCAAAAGGGGTACATTGATGTGGGGCACAGGCTTGAGCACAAGGACGACCACCGTCAACAGAGGTAGTACGACACAGTATCTGACTCCGGCTGCGAATGTACTGAGCCTCTCAAACGCACCCCGTTACCCCCTACCCCCCACCCCCCGCGGATGCCCTCGTGCTCGTGCGTCCAGACAAGACCAGCGTAGACAACATGCTAACCAGAAAAAAGTCGAGAAGAACACTAGTCAGACTCACGATAGAGGCAAAGGCTTGAAGTGGTCGATTCCACCTGCCTCCTCCTTTCCCTTGNCTGCCTCTTCCTTTCCCTTGGCCGGTTGCGCGACGTGGATGGTGCTGATGAGGAAGATATC